AGTTGGTACATCATTAGGTATGTTAAAAGTGTGAAAACAATCATTTTGCATTCATATGGTATGATAACATTGTTAGATTGTCGTGCTAACAATATGATACATGCCAACCACATATACAAATATTATTAAGGTTTGAATGCGATCAGTGATCCTAATATTATACATAACAGGAAATGTGATAACCGTGTGATAAAGTATTACTCATTACATGAAATGTGATAACGATGTGCTAAATGTGAAGGAAGTAACTGAAACGGTTTTTTTTTTTTTTTTTTGGTTTTAAGCATATGTGCATGTTATGCACACCGGACAAATTGCTACAAATTACTTCATATGTACATATGTATACCGTTCTAATGAACGATTACCTTACTTTTTTTTTTAACGTTTTTTCCTAAATCATAAATAAATTTAATTTAGAGTTTATCTACTTAAAGGAAAATAAGAATATTTGTAGCATATATTGGCAGAAAATAGTCGGAAAAGGAAGCAAATTCTAGTCATTAGTTGTTGTTTTAATAATTACACAAAGACATATCAGATGATTATCACACTCATATCACACCAAACCCTTTCACATGATGTTCTTTGTTGAGCGGGATATATTGGTTCATTTGGTTCAGTTTAGTAATCTTAGCTACAACAATGGATGCAGGTAAATTATTTTTGTGTGTTATAACATTTCTTAAAGGGTAGACACATACAAAAGGACAAACCCTTCTTCAATAATGAGGTATATCCCGTCTATCAAAGGGGGTATGTGTGCATGTATCTTAAAATGAATCCATTAAACATTCTGCAAATGATCTACTTGATGTCGTAGCCATTAAGTCATGATTTTTAATCAAACTCATATCATAGCATATGTCCTTTTGATCTCCAAAGTCAATTTTTGTTTGAGGTTTTGCGTATTTTCTACAGCACTAAGCTTCATCAATGATTATCACAGCCATATCACCTAAATCAAGTAGTCGATTTCCTAAGTTAACCTAGCCGAATGGAGTCCTTGTGATAATTGTGTGATTGTGTAACCATAACCTATCGAAACCATGATCAATCGGATGTAACCATAACCTATCAAAACCATTGTAACGCCCCATTCCACATGTTTCATGTAACATATACTTCATAAATAAGAAATACATGTTTGCATACCACATTGGTCCCTTAGTACAAGAATCTACCAGTACCAAATACATGGTCCAAAAATTCCAAAATACAATTCTTGCACTAAACCAGATCCATCTAACAAAACTATACATGCCATCAATAAATCTTCATGCAGATAAGCATATAGGGAAGTTGTTACATTTTTCCCTTCCCTTTACTCTCAGCACTTCCTGCAACACATATTTAAAATCACAAAATGAGGGTTAGACCGAAAGGTCTAGTGAGTTATCCTATTTATGTCATTGCAGGGTGAAAATCACCAAAACTTTTAGGTAAAACAACTTTTCATATATATCACAATATATGAATAAGTAAGAACATAGTATCAATACCTTTCACTTTTCAAGCCAAATACTTTGCTTGCAATCAATACATCAAAACCAAACAGGTTTACACTAGTCAATTATCAGAATGCCACTTTTAAACCTCTTGAATAAAATAATGTTTAATCAAAGTTTCAGGCCAAACATTTTATCTCCTTCTCTATAACATTCAAACTATGATTTTCAATAAGAACTCTGATCTTAAATCTTTAACTCACAAATAAATAAAGATTTTAGACCATGGTAATCTTAAGGGATATGATAGTAGAAGTTACATTATATAACACACACATACCAATGTCACCCTTATATCCAAATGTACACCTCTCCTTGATATGTCACCCTTATCTCATGGTACACCTCTCCTTGATATGCCACCATTATCCCGTGGTACACCTCTCCTTGATATGCCACCCTTATTTCCTCATCAAAATATTTCACAAAACAATTCCATATAGAATTAGACCGCAGTCAATGGAATTATTATTATCAGTTCAAAAATCAATCTATTCAAAATTCCCCTTTTTATATATAAGAATAATTATATATAAACCATGAATAAGTCAAATTGCAAATACGGTCAAAATAGACTTGGCCGGACTTCATCTTCGGTCAAGTCTTGGCCGGTTTATCAAATCCGGACAACACATCGCCCAAGGCTTGTCCAATTTTACACTTAAGAGAAAATTTCAATCACTTCTGTTCGGATAACAAATCTGGACAACACAATGCACCCCCCTTGACCGATTTAAATAATCCAGTCATCACATGGTCGTATTCATACTTCTCCGTTCAAAGTATTTAACATAAATTCAATATTCATAAATCGCTCAATCATTGTCCGGTTTAAGACTAAATCGCCCGACTCTTGACCGGTTTAAGTCTAATCCGGACAACTCACCAAGCGGTTTATCTATAAGTCGCTGATATGTTGTCCGGTTTATGATATAAATCGTCCAACCCTTGTCCGGTTTAAGACTAAATCGCTCGACTCTTGACCGGTTTAATTCTAATCCGGACAACACCTCTATAGTTAACTTTTTAAATTAAATGAAAAGTTTATACAATCAATTTATAGAACTATGAAGAGTTTAAAAGTAGTTCAAACCACTCACCTTGAAAGCCTTTTGAAAATCAGTCTTTTGAAAAGCTTAAATTGAAGTCCGGTCAACACTTCTTCTTCTTAAATCGTTCAATGAAGGTTTCAAAAATAACCAGAGACTACAATGGAGGCTCAACCTCCCTTTTATACCCTTCCTAAACAGGAAGGCGGTTACTTACAGCCTCCAGGCCCTCCTCATGCATGCATCTATATTTTTTCATGCATACTATATCATACATACATATATTCATGCATATGAATTTTTAAACTTATGCATACTAACATCCTTTAATTATGCATATTCATATTATGCATATATATATATATATATATATATATATATATATTGAATAAAATTCTCATATTCGCATGATCAAATATACTAATTTATCATGTTGTCACGTATGCACATAATAAATAATCACGTATAAATTACATCAGGTGATAACCAAGATCCAGTTATCACAACCATGAGTAATCGTTGTGATAAATGTGTGATTGTCTAACCCTAACAGATCAAAACCATGATCAAATTGAGTGCGCAAGTGATGTTATAATAGTGATATCACATGATTATCACACAAAGAAGTGATCAGCATTTCAGACCATTTCACTTCACTTTTCCTGTTATACTTGCAGAAATGCAACACAATATTTGGCTTGGGAGATAAGTCAAAAAAAAGAGTGAAAATTTACACTTCGTCTGCCAACTGAAGTGTTGTTTTGGCATTTTTGAAACACGCTGTTTAGAAACCAATTGTAAATATTCTAACTCAATAAACAAGTAATAGTAATCATCAAGAATAATAGCAGATTGTGTGAAGATATGATCGGAATCATCTAGAAGCAATTACACCTAAATTTTAACTTAGCAACAGCAAACCAAAACGATAACCTATCGAAAACCATGATCAATCGAGTGTAACCATAACCTATTGAAACCATGCTCAATCAAGTGTAACCATAACCTATCGAAACCATGAGTAATCGYWGTGATAAATGTGTGATTGTCTAACCCTAACCGATCGAAACCATGATCAAATTGAGTGCGCAAGTGATGTTATAATAGTGATATCGCATGATTATCACACCCATATCACACCAAATTGTTAAATGGATATCGCCCGTAATCGTTGTGATAAATGTGTGATTGTCTAATTATAACTTATCGAAACCATGAGAAATGGTTGTGATAAATGTGTGATTGTGTAACCCTAACCGGTCGAAACCATGATCAAATCGAGTGCGCTGTTATGATAGTGATATCATGATTATCACACCCATAACACACAAAATCGTTTAGTCGATTTCGCCCGTAATCGTTGTGATAAATGTGTGATTGTCTAATCCTAATCGAATGAAAGCATGTTCAAATCGAGTAATTGTGAAAGATAACTTGCATAAACTGTGTTCTACGACTTCTTCTTGTTGTTCGATTCCTGCATGCAAACCTTACGGCTTTTTCTTGCTGATCGATTCCTGTTTGTTGTTTGATTCCTGCATCCAGACTTTACGGCTTCTTTGATCTTCGATTTCTTCTTGAAATCATTTCGTTAACTTCTTAATCGATACCTTCTAATAAAGATAATTGTTTAATTAAGTTGATAATCACTCTAATTTTCAGGATTATGATGTGATCATGTATTCATGTTTAAAATTTTATGATTTTGATTTCCATTATTACACTTTCGAATCTCAATTTTGTTTGAATCGTTTTAAATTTCAATTTCAATTTCAATTTTCAAAAATCTTTTAATTTTAATTGTTATCACACTATGGGTTATTAGGTTGTTCTCACGTTCTCGTAAATCTCAGGGGTTCTCGTTTGAACCCTTACCTATTTTATTATTTATATAATAATATTTTGAACTATGTGTTTTGTACGGTTGTACTTTGAGTTTGTGCCAATATGACAATTGACTATAAAAAAACTAGTTGGACATGTCACAACTCACATGTTCAATTTAGTTTGAGGTTTACTTTGTATACTATTTTAATCATGCAATATGGATTTGGGAATCATATGTACTAAAACTCTTTATTTTTTTGTACCACGGTCACTTTATCTTTCATTTTGTAATGTATTTTTAAACCTATAATTATTGGATTATAGACACAAAGTGCGATAGGTATAAACCGCACCAATGCAGTACGATTTGGTGTGGTTTGTGGTTTGGCCTCAAATCGCACTGTAAACACCCCTTATAAATATTAAGATCATGTAAAATCAGCTTGTTTTCGTGAGATCTCCCAGACTAGAAAACAATACTAAACCTTCAGAGTATAACACATTGAAGGTTTAGTGTATTTATGTGCTTGCATAGCTGGTCTCACTAACCCAATATTACAAAAAATGAGTTTTTAAACTTTTATCTTAAACATAATTACTGCGATACCCACGTCCATAGAATTTAAAACCACTCAAATTATACACTTTTTAACAATTAGTTTGAAACCTACGACATAACATGTTGCATATCTAGTACAAATTAAAATATATCCGATTAACCCAAAATAAAAGCATAATTATATAAATAAAAGTGGCAACAAAGTAAACATGTATTGACAACTTTGAGAAGGGAAATGATATCACACAATTACCATACCGAAGAGGAGAGGCTAATTATTACCATCTGTATAACATAATCATCCAAAATGGTGTCTCCATCCATAACGTCCCATTGATCCATCATCACCTCCACTAGAATCTGGGCTGTAGCCTGTCGACCATTTCTGTTGACTTCGAACACCGTTACCCCCAATCCCGTATCCTTTCGGGTTCGGACTTGGGCTTCTAGGGACCTGATAAGTTACATTGCCTCCGGAGCTTGACGTGTCGAAGGCCAACCCGTTACCCAGTCCCCCTTTCTTAACGGGCTGGCCTTTGTGCTTTCCTAAGTTTTGAGCCCGGACCTTGGCTTTGGCGGATTGGGTTGGGGCCATATAGCTTGGGACCTGGTCCGAACCAGACTGGCGTTGTGACTGGGAGTGTTGTGCGGAGTCGAGTGTCTCCCCACTGAGACCGCCCGTGGTGATGTATTCTGAGCTCAAGGGTGTGACTAGATCCATTTCTACTGTTTTAACAGACACATCGTCATTAGTGGCAAGGGTCAGGTAGGATCCCTCGTTGGGCCCGACAGGGTGTGCCTGGTAGGGTTGTGATGCCATCCAACTCTCGAGCCAATTCCATCCCCATTGTTGTTTTTCATGATCATTGGGGGGATATAACGCGGTCTTATTAGATTCTGGATGCAAGAAATGTTGTTGCTGTTGCTCTTGCTGCTATTAGAAACAAAAATCTTAGCAAGGGGAAGTGTTACATCGCTCACAATGATCCATTAATGCATTACATTTGCATCACTAACAAATCAAGTCAACTAAGGCTACGTTTGACAATCATAAGCTAACTTATTTTTTAAATTTATTGAAAAAACTCTGTTTAGTGAGCCATATACTAGCTTGTTTTTTGTATAAACGTCCTTTATATTTTCTTTTTAGGTCATCTAACATTTTTATCTATCTTATCAGCTAGTTTTTATCCTCGTGACTAGTTTCTCTGCTAACTTATCAACCCAACAGCTAGCTGAAAAGCTAAAAGTCGCCTTTTAACCGACGACAGTAGTTTATTAGCCAACAGCTAAACTATCAGCCGGATTGCCAAACATAACCTAAAGCTAAAGCAGCTTGAAATATTATTATGTGTACCAACCTGGTAGGCGAACGCATAAGCAAGAGCTCGCTCTCTCTTCATTTCTGCATCATGTTTTCTCAAAGTGCTTTCTTTGATCTTTTCAAAGCTTTGATTTCTATTATCTTGTGGTTTTGTTGGTGGTATCACCCTTTCATCTTCCACCACTTTCTTATGGAGTTTCTCATGTGTCAACTCGAGTCTGCGTGCACGGACTCTTGCCTGTACACGTACCAGGGCTTGCATGCAACGCATTGTCATCTGAGCTTGCTTTCGTACATTATGGCCCCTTACTAGTGCTTGCAGCCTCACCAGTCCCTTCAATGCTCGTAGTGCACGTCTAGCCTGCAGATTGGATCACCCATATCAATAATCAAAAGCACCGGGTATATCCCATTTGAAAATAGGGTCCGGGAAGTGGCATGTCCTCTGCCCTACAGCGGCCTTTACTCATGTCAATCGGATATTTCTATGTGGGTCTTACCAAAAAAAGGTTTAAGTTATTTTGGGAAATTTATTCAACCACCTCTAATCGTTTTACCTATTACCATATTAAAATTTTTGACAAAGCCCTTACCACTTAGTTTTTGACTTTTCAGGAATTATATTAGCCGATAAATTAGTAGAGCTGAAATTATCTAAAATACCCTTTAACAATGCCATGATATGAAAATTACGCTGACCAAAATCAACGCTATCAATCTACAAGTAACTCAAGGATGAAATTTTGCTTAAAATAAAACATTTCATTTATTTTGAGACAAACATAAAAAAAAATTGTTGTTTTTATCTGAATTTAAGAGAGGACTAATTTGGGAGAGGGGGCACACTTACCAAATATCCTCTATAGTATGATTGTATGAGGATAGCAGCTCTTTCTTCCTTCGAGTGGCGGCCATAACCGGCTAGACGAACAACTTTAGCCGCAGCTTGAGCGGCAGCAACAGCGGCCTCAGCTGCAGCAGCGGTGGCCACTGCTACAGCAATAGCATGATTCCGATCTTCACCCGCCTGTGACAACCGGTCACCAACACTCTCATTGGTGACATCCGGTGAACTCTCTGCTGCTGGGAAATGCTCAAATGAAACAACCTCTGGTGTGTCTTCTTGCCGTTTCTCCACCACATTCTCCTTGCGAAAACCATTCTAGTATTCGCTTACAAATTGATTAATTCCCAAAATAAATCTCATTTAAAGTTGATCAATTCTAGTAATACTATATGCAAGTATTAGCATCTATGTTAAGCAACAAGGTCATAGGGATTATGGGTGATTGTGAATAAACATAAGAAGCACATGATCAAGGGACATGCATGATGTGATATCATAGGTGGCGTGATGGTTATATTTCACGAATTGCTGGGCCAAATTGCACGGTGGAAAGAGTGGGGGGACCATTGATCATAGTAGTAAATGTGGAACCTCCTCCAAGAAAAAACCAAAAGGACAAAAATCACATGATTAATGATAGAGTTTAATTGCAGAAAAAGCAATATGGCCTTTTTGGAACATCTAATTTCCCCTAAATAAAGCAGTAATGTTGTGTTTAAACTCCTAACAAACAGGATCAGATAAAAAATCCATTGTTGATTTAAGCATTACATTTACCAATAGTAGTAAACGTATCTGATCTGATCAGTATTCAGTAAGGACGAAGAGATCAGACACTATGATTCGTACAAATCTTTGACCACTGTCCCTAATTAAAACAACACTTATACTACAAAAGGAAGAACAATTATATATGCATTTCTATGAACAATTAGGCGATATCATGAAAAAATCAACGGTTAATTAACTGACCTTGTCATTGAAATCCTTGGTAGAAGGTTTGAAGACCTTTTTAACAGAAGAAAACCAACCAGTCCCTTTCTTCCCCATCTGAAGACAGATCAGTTGGCTAAATCCTTGAAATCAATCTAGAGAAAGAATTGAAGAAAATTAGTTTCATCTCACTACATTGAGATTGAAAACAGAGATGCATGAAAATGAGTGATGAAACCTGGAAGGAGGAGGGAGATTCAGTGAGATTGTGGCGTGATCTGGTAGTTGTTGATGCTGCTGCTATCGATCGATTCCATTGATGGAAAATTGGTGATGAGAAGTGAAGGAAAACAGAGAGGGGAGAGAGAGAGTGAGGAAGTAGTAGTAACTGCTGGGCGCGGAAATGGCGTTGGTTTATTAATCGTTGTCACGGGTGGGTAGGTTTCCATCCTAATTGCTATTTGCTACTCACTTCTCCAACTACGCTTCCCATACACTCTACAATATTCCTTTATACATGTATAGAATCCTTAAATCATTTCAAAACAATCATGACAACTTCAAACTTAAAATGTTGTTTCACATGATTTTTTATGTTAAAATATAGTATTTAATATATTGATTAACATAAATTTATTTGTTTCATATGTATTCGATTCATAATATAAAACGTTTTTACGTATACTTTTTGTTTCACAAACAAATAAAAAAATCTTCACATTGTAAAACAAATATATGTTAATCAATATTCTAAATTATAATCTTCGATTAATAAAAAGTCATATAAAATAACACATTATCCACAAGTTCTCGAGATTATCACAAATTCATGGATTCTCAAAAGAAGGCCCTCTACATATATATACATATAGATATACATATACAATGTTAAAATAAGAAAGACAAAAAGGTTGAGATTGTATTAATAAATGATTCATATATGAATTATTGATAAAAGAAAATATGGGTTTATGTATGGATTCTCAAATCAAAATTTTTTTGGAGTTACCAATATTCACATATGAATAAATTATTTCTTACCTTCTTAACTTTTTTGTCTTTCTTATTTGACATTCTCATATAAAAGTTTTGTAAGCATTATGTATTGTTTATTAATATATGATCTCTCAAGATTCATGTCTACAACTTCTTATTGTATACGTACAATTTCTGAAGATTTGGGTTTAAACTTTATAAAATCAACTGATAAATAGGAAACAAAATAGTCTATAAATTTTAGATTTTCTTTCTTAACAAGAAATAAAATTACTTTTCTATTTTTGGTTTACAATAAAATTTTATATCTTGTTGCATTGTGTCCACAATGAATATAGTTATATATGTATCTACGAGTAATGCATCTACAAGAACATAAACACACATCAAAATGTCTGTTTTTGGTCCCTCGTGCAAAACGGATGCTATAGTGCGATCCATTCAAAAAGCAACCTATTGAGATGCAAACATTCGATAAAAAAATAGTATTTCGACTTCTGTTTTCGGAGTTGATTCAAATTCCTTTAGCACAAATTTAAATTTTTGAAAAGCTACCAACATCTTTGATCAAATGCCTTTTAAATGTTATTGATAATAAAAGTTACACTATAAATAGTTCTATTATACAACTACTTGTATCAAGTTAAAATGAAATACGTTGTTGAAACCATAAATAATTGATTGTCATTCGTATAACCACTATAAAGTTTTGATCTTAACCTTGAATGCGATACACGACCCGAATGTGTATTTTTGTTGTCGAAGAGGATGTTGTTTTTTGTGGTCCTCATGTAATCCAAATTGCACAAGGTGCAATTAGTTTCCAAATTTTCGAATTTTATGGACCCATCCCAGTTTGCCAATTGGAAGATCAAAGACCAAATAATCTGTTGTAGATCCCACCGTTTGAATAAATTGAAGATGTCTAAAGATAATGTAGGAAAAGGTGAATAAATTGATGATGTCTAAAGATAATGTAGGAAAAGGTGATCTATAGTTCCGACTTCTTATATGCACCATGTGCAAATTGCATCGTTGGCTTCAGTTTACTTCTTTGGCAACAGGAAACTTTGAACCCTTGTTAGAAATTGGTTGTAGTATGAAGGCATTTAGGAACGTAGGTATTCTAAAGTTAAATCAAACAAATCCAGTATACATGGAAATAGTGTACGAGATAGGATGTACATAAATCTGTCATTTACCCAAAGAAGGAGAGTGATTGTGTTTTTGTTAAGACACATGACTTGTAAAAAACTGCTTCCAAAAAGGTTTTGGGGATTGGGGAAGACCATTGTGCTTTGGAAAACCTGTAAATATTAGAGAAGAGTTTGGGACCGAAAGGTAAATTACCAAGAGTTCTTTGAAAAACTTATATTACCAAAAAGGTACTTCTACCTTCTATAACATAGAAAACGACTATGTTGTTGTTAGGACATCTTTCTTATTGTAAAGGATATAATGTTTATATGCTATGGAAAATGATCACATATATTTCTTACCTCTGATGAGGTTTAAACCCTTGATCTTATAAGAGGCTGGCAAACACCATTTGCTACGCTCATCACGAGAAGCCAGGGAACTCTCTTTGGTGGACTTCAAGCGCGATGATAGTCCATCTGAAGTTTTCTACTATGCCATCTTACTTAGCTCGAAGATCGAGCTTGCGGGTTGGTCTCGGTGGTCAATGAAAATGTACTAATATCTTGTCTTTTCTACTGGTAATCGGGGTACTGCTAGGCCAACAACTCTTTGGTGAGATTTACACACCTTCCTTATTATGCTTCCAAACGACCACGTCTCTCTTTTGTTATGTTGACCAACATCCGAATCTACAACCATTGCTTGTATTGTTTCTTCTTTTTTCATCATATATTTAACATAACTACTTCATGAGATTTATATAAAGCGTCCCCTCCAACAAAATCGAATAATTTGTCTTTTATGATCCATAAACAATTGATAATACACTAAAAATTGGGTGAATAATTATGCTGAACGTCTAAATAGAGTATTTTACTCAACTTTATCCTACAACTAAAAATATAACTTGTTAGCTTGTCTAACTTCATTCTAGCAACTTAATCCTTTTGTATACAAATGCATATTACTGATCTTATAAACTAAAAAGCCCAGTTAATTAGGTATATTAGGATGGTTAGGCGTCAATAACAGACCTATTTTCTATTAATGACAATACATATAGCATATCACAACTATATAGTCATGTAAAAAGTAATGTAACCATCCGTATGTTTTGTACATGAATAATAGTAAGTTTGATGATAATTTACTGATAAAGCAAAATAACACGAGTCAAACTGTCAAACCAAGATGAGGAAGCCATTAATAAATAAAAGACAAAACAATGGTTATAAAGAAAACGATGGTTCCATATTCGTGAAGGCATCAAGAGTTCATCATAAATGATCAGGTCTTCGTCATCTTTGACCATGAGTAATCAAAGAAACGAAGCGAAAACTTAAATGAAAAATTAATTCTGAAATTAATTTACAAATGAAGGAGGTGTTATACATTTATTTGATTTTACAACTCAATTTTTCATTATTTGAAAATGTCATTCAATCTAAACCTAAGTTTCCATATCAACCAAAATCCACCACAACCACCACATCAAATGATCACTTAAATGTTAAAATAGAATTTGGTTTCACCATTAAATTTGAATATTAATTCATACTATTAAAATTCATACATATATTCATGTATAAATCTATAGATTTGTTTTCAGGTAAGAATAGTAGTTATTGTGAGAACGGTAAAAAAAAGATCTTCATCTTTAGATCAATTTTAATTGAAGATCAATTAAAAATACCTTTCTAAGCTAACTCATGAATTATTTAGGACTTAATTTTAATTAGATCAACACTAATTAAAAGTGATTAAGGGCATAAATCTCTTCTTACATTTATCACTTTAACTCTTATTCTCACACGATCATTAGTTTACATGTGTGTGTGTTTGTGCATATATGTATATATGTGTGTGTGTGGGTAATAATCGTGTGAGAAGGGAAGTTTATTGTGAGAAGCATAAGAAGAGATCTGAACTTTTGATCACTTTCAATCTCATGCCCACCCATGACTACGCTTTAGAAGCGAATTAATCCGGTGTATCTTGGTGCACCTCATGAGTATTGACATTCAATTAGGATTGATCCAAGGGTAGAGATCTCTTCTTACGCTTCTTAATATAATTTTTCTTCTCATCGAAACTCAACCCTGCATGTGTGTGTGTGTGTGT